ACCTGCAAGCGGAATCAGCAGGGCGCGATCACCTCTCTCTCTCTCTCTCTCTCTCTCTCTCCCTCCCTCCTCTTTGACTGGTGAGGCACCACGTGCGCGCGATTGTCGTCTGATCTGATTTTAAACCCCGACGAGAGTCGCACCACTTCGCGTCCTATGAAGCCTGGAGCAGCGCCCCTGAGCAGTGTGTCGTGCACGCTGCCACTACGTGCCTGCGAGCACCGAGCCAGGATGGAGCCAGGGAGCCGCCTGCGGTCGCTGCCGTCGCGGCGGGCGGAGGGAGTAGAGCGGGGAGGTGGGAGGCGCACTTGGCCTCAAATCTCGACACACGCACACAAACACCCCCCTACCCGCTTCCCTCTTGCTTTCCCGTCCATTCCCACAGCTGATCTGTCGCCCCCCACCCTCTTGCAGTTCCAACCCCCCTGTGCGCAACGAGTAACCCCAGCCCCACACCCCGCCCCTTCAAAGCGAAGGGAGTTCCTGATGAGAGGGTCGAGAGTCTCGGCACGTAAGACCGCGAGGCTTGCCGGCAGCTTGGTGCGCACCCCTCTGCTTACTACTTGTAGCTCAGCACGGGAGCGGCCAAGACCCACGAGAGCCACCACTAGATAAAGCAGGAGGAGATGGAGCGCGCTGTGGGCCAGCATAGGCGACCCGTGTCCCCGCTAAATTGCACCCTGCGGTCGAGCTGCTTCGGCTCCTGGTGTACCTCGGGCCGCCTTCGGCTCTCGAGCCGAACGCGGCCCGGGGCCGGTACGTCAAGTCGCTCCCCGGCTCCGGCGAGCTGCGCTCGGGAGGCGGGGGAGGCGGCCGGCCGGCCGCCTGCTCCGGTGATGACGCGCGTCAACGCAGATCGGCGGGGAGGTGGAGGGGAGCGCATTTACTCGACAACCCCGGACTGCTGAAGCCGAGTAGAGCCGAGCAGAGCCGAGCGCGAGCCGACGTACACCAAGCAGCAGGTAGCCGAGTTTGGAGACGGGGACGCCTTAATGGGCTGACGCTCCATCTCCCCAACTTCTTTATCTAGTGAGCCACCAACAACTAACACTAAAATGACAAAACCAAAGACGATAACGATTGATGATGATGATGCTGATACCTGCTACTATAAGTTAATGAAGATGATGACACCTGCTACTATAAGTTGATGATTTAATCAGAGAAAACACACGCCCTAGTTAGTAGATGGCAAACAATGTCGAGAAAGAAGTCGCATCACCGCCAGCAGCAAAGAGCAGCAGCAAGAGCAGCAGCAAGAGCAGCAGCAAGAGCAGC